TTGTTCAAAGTCACACAAGTCGGATACGGCTAAACTGGGATTTAAAACCCTGGCTTTTAACTTCTAGGGCACAACCACACTGAGAAGGAGCTCCTGGGGAGGGGACAGCCATGGTGGTTTCCTGGAGGAAGTGGCAGGTAGGCCAAGTTTCAAGGGAGTTGGTTAAGTGAAGAGGGTTCTAGGCAGAGGAAAAAGGAAAGGCAAAGGCTGCCTCCTGAGAAGGGAGCTACCCTCAGGCTCTTTTGGAGAATAAAGGAGGAGAGGGCTGGGAAAGGCGGGATGGATCAGGAAGGAATGGGCAGTATGAGCCCTGGGCTCCTGCGCTAGGGTGGTGCTCTAGGCAGGGGACACCTACAATTGTCATCCCACTGCTGCAAATGTTCCCTACCATCAGTGCTTTGCACCTCTGGTCCTCAGGCCAGTGCTCTTGGGGTCTCCCAGGCTGGCAGGGAAAACAGACGGACAGAGAAAGAAGAGCAAGTAGAGTACACTGTGAGCCGGGCTGGTGGCAGGCAGTTGCAGGGTGGGTGGGGTTTGTGTGTCCTGGGATGAGGGACAGAGCATCCCAGCTGAGGGAGTCCTGCCAGTGTGACTGGCCAGGAAAGTCCAGGCAGAGGCAGCTGGCCCAAGCAGCCAGGGCCAGGCTGGGAATAGCACACAGGGCCAAGGGCAGAAATCTGATCTTGAGTGACAGGGAACTAGTAAAGGTTGCTGAGCAAGGGAGGGCTGGGACAGGAGCTGGCCTCAAGCTGATGGCTGATCATTGGTCCTTCTCAGGCCAGGGCTTCTGGCTCACAGGGGGCCCCCAGCCCCTCTCAGCAGGGAGCAGAGTGTGGGCCTTGCCTTGGCCTGCCAGGGATTGGAGCCAAGAGCCCTCAGCAGCTCAGAAGGGGCCCTGTGCAGGCCCGCCGGGAGCCCAGGAAGAGGAATGCAGCCCAATTAATTCTGCAAAGCTCCCAGGGCCTCGCCTTGTGGGAGCAGCTGTCAGGACAGGCCTGCCCGGACGCCACTGGCCCAGCCTGTCAATCACTCGCTGCTGATGCCAGAGAGCTGGGGGCCAGACATTTGGGGACCAGCCCCTTGCCTCCAGGCACACACGTGTCTCCCAGCCCCTTCAGGGCTAATACAGCAATAATGGTAAGAGCTACAGCCAACAGGCCTCGAGGCCCTGCAGCACACTGAGGCCCTCATTCTTACAAGGAACAGTGAGGCGAATATGTTACTATCTCCTCTCGCAGCGCAGAAATTGAGGCTTGGGGAAGTGAACTTCCCAGCCCAGTGTCAGGTGATCAGAAAGCAACAGCAGGGAAGCAGGGGTTGGACCCGGGCCATCTCGATCCCAAAATATATTCATCATAACCACCATGCTGGACTGGCTCAGCGAGGGAAACTGAGTCCTGGGAAGGTAGAATGCCTTTCCCAAGGACAGTCTGTTAAAAAGGAGTCTGGGACAGTGAATGGAGTAAGGACTTCCAGAACGAAGGCCTTGTTCCTGGCCTCGGTTTGCATTGCCTTCTCCTGATGGTGGGCTGGGAACTGTTCCCTCCCTGCCCAGTGGCTCACTACTTCTGGGCAGGTAAGACTGAAAGAAGTGATCCTGTATGTGTTAGTTATCTTTGCGTCACTGTAACAAAATCTTGAGATTATCAACTTAAAAAAGAGGAAGCTAATCCCAACACTCAGGAGGGGAGGCTGAGACAGGAGGATCACAATGAGTTTGAGGCCAGCCTGCACTACATAGGCAAGACTCTGTCTTAAAAAAAAGAAAAAAGAAAAAGAAAGAAAGTTTTGGTTCCATTTCAGTGGTTTCAGTTCGTGGTCAGCTGGGCTATTGCTTTGGGCCTGTGCTGAGGCAGCACACCATGATGGAAGCACCTGTGGAAGAAGCTGCTCACCTCACGGTGGCTGAGAAGCGAACCAAGAGGGAAGAGGAGGGGCGGGGGTCCCACAGTCACTGTAAGGGACGTGCTCCCAACTACCTAACTTTCTTCCAGTACATCCCACCTCCTAAAGCATCCACCATCTCCCAGTAGGTGCCATAGCCCTTTGGAGAACATTTACCCAAAGTATAGCACTGTCTCTCTGGGGTCTCCACCCATTTGTTCCCAGTTCTGCCACCTGGGCCCGGTCCCAGAAACCTAGTGTCAGGGGGGCCAGCTGGGCCTCGTGGTGGCTCCACTCTCACAGCCTCCTCCCAAACCACTCCCCTCCATAGTGGCTCAGAGAGGTGCGGCACAGCGCTAGAGCACAGCCTCACAACCAGGAAGCAACAGAGAGGATGGCATCTGGAGTGACCAGAAGCCCAGGCTCTGCCCTTGCCAGACAGTGGGCCAGAAGGAGAGCAATGCAGCCATATCATGTGCCCTCTGTGTCTCAGTTTCCTTGTCTGCCACAAGGGGATGAAAGGCCTGATCTTACAGGGTCTTTCTGGAGTTCAATAATAGCAACTGACCCCCTCCCCAAAAAGGCATTTAATATGTGCCAGACTCTGCCCTGTGTACTTTATTTGTTTAAAAACCCTTTTTTCTAAACAAGGCCTTATTCATGACTACATAATATATCATTATAAAAGTGTTCCATAATGTATTCGTTACCCCATAAGTACATATTTAAGTTTGTCTGGTTTACCACCAAAGGAGGTCAGAAAGTGTCACCCCAAAATATGCCCCTTTTACATCAGGATTGCTTTGAGCTAAAGGCAAATTAAGAAGCCACTCAGGCAGAAAGAGCTCTTTGGCCTCCCTATCTGCCTAAAAGCAGGAAGGAAATGTTCCTTTATGAAGAGGCTTTCCCTCCCCACCCCTGTATCAGAAAGAGAACAAAACCTTTAGCCCTGAGCCCAAAGGTAGCACTAGATGGGCCAGCGGGAGAGAACCAGCCACACAGCACTGAAATCACCTTATCGTCCCTTAGTTCTCCTACATGGATGTCCTATGATGTGCCACCTCTAGAAGCCCCAATCCCTTCTCCCTTTTCTTCTCAAGTCTCCCCAAATCCATCGTCCTTTGTTAAAATGATACATAAGCTCTTGGATCTAACTGCTTCTCTGAGTCTTCACTTCTCTTCTATGAAGGTCACTACACATGTGAAAATTAAAGTAAACAAACTGTGCGTGACTTTTCTCCTGTAAATGGGCCATTTGCAATTTAATTTGCAGGCTCAAATTACAGAAATGTGAAGGTAGAGGAAAGGACTCTTTCTCCTCTACAGCACGAATAAAATAATACTGTGTTGTACATTAGTAAATGATTTTTTGTATTTATTCCTAATTCATTTTTGCTATATGTTTTTATCGAGATATAAATACACTATGAAAAAATACACTATAAAATTCACCCCTTTAACATGCATGATTCAGAGGTCTTTATTATATTTGCAAAATTATACAATCAGCACTATAATTCCAGAACATTTTCACCACTCCATAGGAAATCTTTTACCCATTAGCAGTCACTGCTCGCCCCCAAGCCCTAGGCAACCACTAATCTATTTCTGTCTATTCTGCACATTTCTTATGAAGTGTGATTAAAAAGTAAGGTGAATGTTTTTCTTTTTACATTTTTTAAAAAATTTATTACAAGAAGAGACATTGCCATTAATCCCCCTGCTATGGCTTATGTCTAAATGTCCCACCCAAAGCCTCATACAGTCATAGACGGGGCTTTTCAGAGGTGGCTGGATCTAGAGTGTGTGATGCTGGAATTAAGGCTGTGTTATCACTAAATTAGTCCACTGATTGGTTTGGCATAGTTCTGGGTGTGGATAATGGGAAGGCCCAACCTGGGTGTAGGGAGCACCTCCCAAAGGGCAGGTAGCCTGGAAGGGATAAAAGGGAGAGGCAGACTGCTGCTGCTGCTTCACTACTTCACTGCTTTGCTGCCTTCTGCCCACCATTTCTGACCTGTTTCTCCTCTGCAAAGCCCCTCTGCCATGCCACCCTGCCTGGGAGCCAGCCAACTGTGAACTGAAACTTCTACAAACTGTGAGCTACAATAAACCTTTCCTCCTTTAACTTTGGGAGTGGAGTATTTTGTCTCAGCAAGGAGAAAAGTAACTAAACTGCTCTCCAAATACTCCCTGTTACTTCAAGCACACTTAGCCCATCATTCTTGCTACTCTCTGAAACAGTTCTGAAGTTCTGTTTCATGCGGATCTTTAGTTGCAGTGTCATGGCAGCCTTGATGTCCTGAATCTATTCAAACTGTTTACCTTTCATGGTCATTTTGACTTTGGAAAAGATTCAGAAGTTGCATGGTGCCAGGTCCCGTGAATAAGGTGGATGAGGACACACCATGTTTTTATGAGCCTGCCATTCTGTTGGATGGCACTTGGCTGTATTTACCATATTTGTGATCACACTTCAAAAAGACATAAAAGAGGACTTCCAGAACGGCTTCAGAAAGTACCAAGAATGATGGAATAAATGTGCTTGAAACTAGGAGGAGTATTTTAAGGGGGATTAATGACAATGTGTCTTTTACTGCAATAAATTTTAAAATTTAAACATTTACCATGTAATTTGCTCACATCTTATAAATGGAATCATGCAATATGTGATCTTTGGTTTCTATCTTCTTTCATTTAGCCTAATGTTCCAGAGTTTCATCCATGGCACATATCTCTTGATATATCTTAATTAATTTTTGTGGCTGAATGATCTTTCTTCAGGGATAGACTATCCTTTGTTTTTCTATTCATCCATTGATAGACATTTGGGGTTTTCCTGCTTCCTGGTCTAAACACTTTATTTTAACCCTCAGTGACTCTATGGGACAGTGCTATTCCATATGGACAAAAAGACCAAGGTCCAGAGAGGTTAAGGAGCCCACTCAAGCTCACTTAGCTAGTGAGCAGCACTGGTGGGCTTTGCCCCAGGATGGCTCTGGAGATGATGGCCTTAAGCACTGACCCACACTGCCTTCTCAGTCAAATAAGTTGGTATAGGTCAGGACACCCAGGAAACTAAGGAGCACTTACCAAAGGGTTGCCTTTCTTGGCAGTATTTCTGAAGATGGTAGAGTTGGGGGTGCCAGCCAGGACTTCAAGCAAAGTGAAAATGTTGGAACCCTCATAAAGAAGCACTGCCATCTCAGCACACAAGAGATCTGCCAGGAAAGAGACATCCCTTCACACCCAGGTGAGCCTGCTCCCTCTACGGAGCATCATAAGTTGTCAACCCAGAGCCTGTTTCCCCACCTGGGAAGCCTTGGCTGCTCCTTTCTTGGCCAACACCCTGACCCTGGACAGCAGAAGAAGGGTCAATGGGTCAGGTGAAGATTAAGAGCTGTATTCCTGGCTGGCACTGTTAGACATGTGGCCTCGGGCAAGACTCTTCCTCCAGTGGGCCTCCACTGGCTAAACTATGAGTCTAGAAACATTAATGTGTTCTATTTAATTATAAATGTACTGTGCTATATGAAGAAAAGCTGTGGTTAAAAAATATAAAGACTATAGGAATATTGAGAATAATAAGTTCCCCCTGCTTCCTCACTCCAAAAGTGGGCACATAGACTTTTTCTATGGATTCAGACATATTTCTAGCTTTTTAGAGGTATCTTAAAAACAGAAACATAAAACTTGCTCTTCTGTAATCTGCTCTCCTCACACCATAGACCTCATCCCACACCAGTGCACACAGATCTTCCTCAGCCTTTGTCTCAACAGCTCCATCAAGGGCCACAGCATGGACCAAAGTTGTTTACTCAGTCCTTGCCCACAGGCCCATTTTAAAGACCCAGGATGCTGTTTGTATACATGTGCTGCAGTAAAGGCCTTATTTAAGCATTGCAGTCCACCAAGGACAGATTGTTAGAAGGGAAATCAGTGACTCAAAGGACAAGCACCTTGAAAATATCCTGCCACGCCTAGAAGGTCTGATGGTGTGTGACTGTAATCCCAGCTGTCTGGGAGGTTAAGGCATGAAGATCACAAGTTTGAGCCCAGCCTTGGCAATTTAGCAATTTAGGGAGACTCTATCTCAAATACCAGTGCAAAGGCCTTGGGTTCAATTGCCAGTACTACAATCAATCAATTCAATTAAATAAATAAATAAATAGTATATTTTGCCAAAAATAGGGCTCCAATGTGCTCTCTGTTGCACCTGGCAGGTAAGGCAACCACTTGGACCAGAACACATGCTGTCTCCATGGCAGCCACACAGGCAGGAATGCAGTGCCGAGTGTGGCCCAGGCTAGGCACCATCAAGCCTTAGCAGTCAAAGTACAGGAAACCTCAAAGAAGAACAAAGACAAGACACCAGCTGCTCTGAGAAGAGTGACCTCACTCTATCCACTCCCCAAATCCCTCAGAGCGATAATCCCTCCCCTTCCCTTCAAATTCTTTGTTCTCTGCCTGCTCTAGGCTGACTCCCTTTCGAACTCAGCCCTCTTGCTGGCTGGGCATTCAAGTATTAAATAAACAAGCCTTGTTGCTCACACAATGCCTGACCAGAATATTCTCTTTCTCCCCCTCTCTCTCTCTCTCTCTCTTTCTCTCTCTCCCTCTCATACCTTTAGTGCTGAAACCTGGAATAGGGTGACTTTCCCTACAGGGCTTTCAAAACCCTATCTTGAGCCTTTTGTCTTGAAGAGACCATTGGGTCCTCCGACTGTGCCTGGGCCATATTCCAGACAGCCTCACTGACCACTTCAGATTGAGTAAGACTTTCCCTTCCACTCCTCTTACTCAGCAACCTCCCTCCCCACCTTGAAGTGCACCCCCAAGGGCCTGGCCACAGGCTGCTGAGCACCAACCACCCTCCGTGTGTACTGGGCCCCAACTGGGGTCCCAAGTCACACAGCTTCGGTCCTGGGCACCCATGCCTGGCATACCTGGCCCAGCCCTGAGCCCGCTCAGCACCCTTAGAGCCTGGCAATATGGCATAACAGGCAGTGGTGCCAGGGCCACTTCACATGGTACAGCCATGGAGGCCATGGTCCTGACCAGCTGGCACTCATGCATGCAGCAAGACCACAGCCCACACCTGAATGCTGCCTGCAGCACTCACATGCACAGCCCACCATTCAGCCACAAGCCATCCAGCCTGGGCAAGATGAATGCAGGCCTGCATGGCATGCCGCCCCCACTCTCCCAGCTGGCACTGCTGCTGCTGCAGCTGCCTGGTTCCATAAATAAGCTAGTCCACACGTGACCTGAGCCCCCAGGACCACCTCCAAATGCAGGCCCAGGTCAAGGGGCTAGGGCTGCCTGGGCTACACCACCTCCAGCCACTGCTGTGGCTGCTCTTCCTCCTCCTCCTCCTCCCCTTTTTGATTAATACAGGTCCCCTCCCCACGGGTGTTGCTGCTGCCCTAGGTGCTAGATGTGGGAGTCCCTCCTTGGGGGACCCCAAACACTGCCCTCTGAATCCTAACCTCCCCCACCTTATGGAGCATTCAATCAATTAAATTGCATGGGCCAGAGAACACTGCATGCACCCTGGGCAGGCTCCGTGACCAGGACCACACCCCTCACAGTCTTCACCAGCCCACCCCACACCCTGTCCAGATCACAGTGTGTCCCTAATCCCCTATACTCCACGCTAGGCCCTCCCCTCCCTCCTCCCAGTGGCCCCAGCCCCCAGCCTGGCCCAGCTCCATGTCACTCACTCTCTCATCCTTCTCTCTCCCTCTCTCCTAACCCTAAATAGCATGGCAGCAGCCCAGAGCTTGCTCACCACCCCGAGCCAGGCTTGGCATCAACTGGGAGCCTCAGACCTGACCTCTGTGCCACTGTAATCGCCACTGTTTTGTCCCATTCCATGCCCCCTACAGTGCCAGACACCTTGGGTCCCTTGTGCACTCCAGTTGCCCAGCATGGCTTGAGACCCTGCACATCCCGAGATCTTGGTGCTGCCCTAACAACCCCATGTGTCCCTGGACCCCAGCACAGCTCCAAAAGCCCTTCATGACTCGGGACCGCTGAGTGTTCTCAGAGCCCTAGCTCTTGGCCAACCGGGCTGTGTGCCCTGGTAAGGGGTCCCACCCCAGAGGGCCCCTCTCTTCCAACAGACAGAGTCCCACCCCAGAAGGACTCCCCAGGTCCAACAGGGACATCCAGCCATGCCCCAGCTACCTGACCCAGTCATTTGGTCTCACCTGGGCTGATTTAACTATCATTTGTAGTTCCCCTCTCTCTCCCTAAATAGATAGAAATAAGTACATTCCCTGACCCAGTCCTACGGGGATGACCACAGGCACCTTCAGCCAGACCTTCCGGAGTGCCCTACAGCCGTTCTCCAAGAAGATTCAAACTAAAACTATCAGACGGGATTCCCAGAGATTCAAAAAATTACAAAAACTTGAGACTGGCCCTGAAACCTCACAACAGGAGCTAATCAACCTGGCCTTCAAAATCAAAAGCCACACATTTCTGAGCTGCATAGGCTGGTCTCTGCCATAAAAAAGGCCCCAAAGTCAACTACCAGGTTGACCACAAAGGGATTGAGGGTGCCCCTGACTTGAGGCTCTCTTCCAGGGCCATGCTTCAAGTGCTGCCAGAACACTCACTGAGATAGGGAATTCCCACAGCCCAGGATTCCCTCCAAGCAGTGCCCTTCCTGCAGGGATCCTCACGGGAAGTCTGATTACCCACCACTGGCAGCCACCCCTGCTGCTTCTGGGCCACAACCCCAGATACCCTTGGCCAGCTCCTTCCCAGACCTTCTTATCCTGGCCTCTGAAGACTACACCACCTGGAAGCCTTGCCATCTCAGACACCAAGGTCCAGGTAAATCTCATGGTAGAGAATAAGTCCATCCCTTTCTTGATCAATACAGGGGCCACTCATTCCACCCCTCCTTCTTTTCAAGGTCCAGTGTTTCTGGCCCTAACTACTGTGTGGCCATTGATGGCAGTCTCCAAATCTTTTAAAATACTCCCAATTTGGTGTCAATTGGACCAACACCTTTGCCCACACTTGCTCTTAGTCATTCCCATCTGTCCTGTTCCCCTTTTAAAGTGAGACATCTAAGCCAATTTGTCACCCACTCTGACCATCCCCAGGACACAATCAGCACTTATAGCCACCCTGGTTTCCCCTTCCCTTCCTTCCTCTGTGTCTCCCATCATCTTCCCTTACCTTAACCCCAGAGTCTAGGATATCTCTTCCCCATCCCTGGCTTCATACCAACAACTACTTGCCATCCCTCTCAAGCCTAATCATACCTACCCTGCCCAACAACAGTATTCTATCCCTGTCCTGGCTTTATAGGGTTTACAACCTATTATCTCTTGCCTGTTGTGATACAGTCTCTCAACTCTCCTTACCACAACCCCATTCTCCTGGTACAGAAAACAGATAACACTTATAGACTGGTATAAGATCTCCACACTATCGATCAGATTGTCCTTCTCATACCTCTCATGGTGCCAAACCCATACACACTTGTGTCCTCTGTCCCTCCATCTACCACTCATTACTTTGTCTTAGACCTAAAAGATGCCTTTTTCACTCTCCACCTGCACCCCTCCTCACAACCCCTCTTTGCCTTCACCTGAACAGAGCCTGACACCCATCAGTCCTAACAGATAACATGGACCACATTGGCACAAGTTTCCTGAGACAGCCCCCCACTATTTCAGTCAGGCCCTTGCCCATGATTTGCTCTCCTTTCACCCTTCTTCCTCTCATCTCACACAGTATGTAGATGACCTCCTCCTCTGCAGCTCCTCATGTGAGTCATCCCATAAAACACCTCTTATTATTACAACATCTAGACTCCAAGAGATACTGGTTATCTCCCTCTAAGGCCCAACTCTCTTCCTCATTCATCACCTATCTGGACATCATTCTTCACAAACATACCAGAGCCTACCTCCAGACCACATCTGCTTGATCTCCCAGAACTCAGCCCTCAAGGGTCAATATTTTGCCCTTTCCAGCATAACTGGGCTATTCCTTCTCTGAACACCAAAAATATCAAGCCCTCTCTACCAAAGATAGATGGTTCCTAAGCCAGAAAAATTTCCTTCTCCCCACTTCACAAGCACACGCCATTCTTAAATCCTCTCATGACAATTTTCACACAGGCTACAAATCCCTAACTCAAATGCTTGAGCCTCTTATCTGCTTTCCCTCCTGGAAAACCCTCCTTAAAACCATCACTGCTCAATGCTGTTTGCCATGCAACCACACCTCAGGGCTTCCTAAAGCCCCTCCTTTCCCACCCATCAAGCATGACAATTTTCTCCAACTTGGGGCTGACAAATTAACTTCACTCACACGCCTTGAATACAAAAGCTAAGATATCCCCTGGTACTGGATGGGTGGAGGCCTTTCCCACAGGCTCAATAAAACTTCCATACCCCCTACAGGTCTCAATCATTCAGAAATATAGAGCCAATGGCCTCCTCAAGACCCACCTCTCTAAGCTCACACTCCAGCTTCATAAAGACTGGATTTCCCTGCTCCAGATCACTGTCCTTCACATCCAAGCCACCCCCCAGGAACCTACAGGATACAGTCCATTTAAACTTTTATATGGCCACACTTTTCTGCTCCAGCCAAACTTCAGCCCAGAGACCAATCTCATCAGAGGCTATCTCCCAGGTCTGTAACAAGCCTGAGAAGAGATCCAACATGCTGCTATCCTTCTCTTGCCTTCTCTTGACAACCAGCCTTGTGAAGAGAGCCTAACCTCAACAGCTATCCATCTATGAGACCCTCCCAAGTGGGTACATCATTCACAGGTAAAGCTATGTCCTGATGATACTTCCCCTGACTCTTCCTTATAAAAATATCAATAATCTCTCCTACTTCCCTCAGGCTGACTCTAATTCCAGAAGACACTTAAATGCCTCATCCCTGCTTATCCAGCTGCTTCTCTCACTTCCTTTATTCAATTTGCTTTAATCTTGCTTGATTTAACCCTCAGACCTCCACCCTTGAGTCCGCCTTCACCCTGATTAGGTTCCCCTTCTCCCATCCCCTCACCCACCAAGACAGAGAGAGGCTCATTCTACTTTCTGTGCCATTTAAACCCAGCACTGGTCACAGAACACTCCTCAGGAAGAACTGTCTTCCCTTGGTGTTTGGCCAACCTTGGAGACATCTTCCTTGGCCACTCACCTATGCTCCATTACAGCCCTGAGTCCCAGCTGGAGAAGTCTGCTGTCAACCTTGTTGCTGCTCTCATTTTGCCACACCAAGCACAACAATTACTTCTTTCTGTTCTCCATGGGAAATCCCTCTCCCTCTCTTACACCTTCCTCCCCTCCCCAGCTTGCCTCTCACCATAACCCCGATCTGACAACATAGGGACCTATTACTTCCCTGACCTGCTGTTATTCCCTCTCCCAAGATCTTTCTAACAGCCTCAAAAAGAAAAAAATAGCTGACTCCATTCTTACCTTACAGAACCAGATAGATTCTCTGACCACAATAACCCTCCAAAATCATAGGGGCTTAGATCTTCTCACAGCCAAAAAGGTGGCTTATACGTCTTTATAGGACAAAATGTTGCTTTTATACCAACTAGTCATGCATAGTGGGAAACACAACAAAAAGGCTAACTGAAAAAGCTTCAAAAATTAGACAACACCTGTCTGACTCTTAGACCAATATTTGCATCTGGGCCTCATGGCTTCTCCAATTACTGTCTGTATCATTCTCCTCCTTCTTTTTGGTCTATGCCTTCTCAGACTTCTCTCACAATTTTTACTGAAGATCACCAA